GTAATATTATGCCACAGTGCATCACTATGCCAACCACTTTCATTTCACTCTCTCACTATCTTCAATAGATGGGATTCTCAGCATAGTCTCATCTAGATGTCATCTAGTGTCTGCTGAAAGCCTCTATTAGACATGAGTCATATACAGTGTGCAATATCTGAAACTCACAATGGAATATGAAATACAACAAAGCCTTCCACACAAACTAATACTGAACAGCATTTCAGTTCATTGCATCTCCCACAAACACCCAGACCCTCTTTTCAAAGGCTGTATCGAGTCTTCTATGGCTGGCTGTTCTAATATGCTTTCATGAGAAAGATACAAAACCCTTGGCAAACACACAACATTCATTGGCGATGAAATTCAATCTATCTTTCTGTCAATTTGCGGCTTCCATGAAACGAATGAGAAGTAAATCTCTCTTTTCAATTATGAATGTCTCACTTGTCTGGATTGATTATATTCGAAATGGATGCTCCATTATTCATTATAGGGATCGGTTAATGACACGTGAGAATGTGATAGAGTGTAAAAACGGCCCATATGCACTTACTATAATCTAATAATGGATTTCACATCAAAGAACACTTTATTATATTTCATGAAATTATTGTTGGAGACAGTGGAATCATTTTGATGCAAACTGATATTAAAATGACATTCTTATTTGTAGAATGGTCATCAGGTATGATTTGATATCTTTGTATTTCTTTACTACAAACCACAGTATTGTCCACACATCATCAGGACTCTAAAAATAAAAATTCCAATTAGAGCCAAAAGGGTTTTTCCAGTATGACACTTTATCTACCCTGGAACCTTTGAGGCCAACCATGGACCAATCAGCTGTAAGCACGAGACTAGAGCTCAGCAACAGTGACATGGGAGAATAATGTATCTCACTTCATTTTTTACAGAAATGTAACATTTAGACATCTAGTATGACTTTTAAAGTAATAATAATAATAAATAAAAAAACTAAAGATATACTTTAAGATTCTAATTTGGCATCATGTAACAAAATATGATTAAATTAAACCTATGTTATACAGCTTACAAGTGAATAGAAAAAGAACCAAATAAAAAGGATAAGAAAGGCATCTGTAATTTCCATCGTAATCAGTGTATTTTGGTACAACACAACAAAGTTTGACAACTTGTTTTGATGCAACTACCACTGTATGTGGTTTTGGCAACCCATTGGAAATAAGTTACCCGGCCTACATTTCTATAACCTGAAATACGTTGCTCCAGGTACATTTTGCTGCGCTTTTCAGGTGACACGTCCACAAGAGGTGCTATAATCCATATCATGCTATTCTCCATTGCAGATGTGGGTTTATTAAAAAAGCCCAGTGTTCATGGGTAAATCTTTGCTAAATGATATTGCTTTGCTTGTAGCACGTTTCACAGCACTTTCAAAATCCAGTGACTGGTGCTACAGTTCACAGCTAACTGAAACATTCAAACGCGAACTATGGCAACGTATTATCACGTTGGTTCTTATATGTGTCATGGCAGTATGGAAATGAAACGTCTGGAGAGTGGTGCTTAAAGGTTAATGCTCTCTCACAATTATAGGACAACCTACACTAAACCTAACCAATACTGTTAACAAAGCATAACAAATACATACATGAATAAATAGAAAATAAAATAATAAAAGTTGTTGCTGTTTTACTGCCACTAGTGTCATTTCAGATATAAACTGCATTGAAAGACATATATACCAGGGTTCCTGCACACTTTTGAAAGTCAAATTTAAGGCTTTTTAAGACCTTTTTAAGACCTTAAGAAATCAAAATTAATACCGTACATTAGGGCTGTGCAGTATTGACAAATATATCTTGATATTTTCAACGTTTTGTTGATAATAATTAGATGATATTTTACTGATTGTGTTTTTGTGCTGGTGCCATGGCTGGTTTAGGTCTGTTGTTGACAGCTGACTCACGAAGATATTTATATTTTTCATATTCTATGCAGTGGTCGGTTCACAGCAGTGACAGAAATTAATATTTTGATTAAGGGGCAATATTTGCCACCTTAAATTGATTTTTTCAGGGGCATTTTCACCTATATGGACATTTTTTCTAAACTTATTTAGAGTTATGCATCACCTTTAATGTCAAATACTATCATTCAAATTAAATTATACAGTAATTATACAATAATACTTAATTATATAATAATCATACAGTACCACTGTTACCAGTCAAATTAAATAATGCAATCAAAATCCATCTTTGCAGTGCAGAGGTGACACAGAAGTGGCATCAGAAGTGGCATTAATATATTTACACTCCATTTACAACTGCATAAATAAAGCTATGAGATATATATTTTTAAATCAATATTCAATATTTAACATTTTATTTAAAGGGTACTTTAAATATGAAACCGCAGCGGCAAATAAATCACTGTCTTAATAAGTGAGTTGAGGGAGTCATTCATTCAACCGATTCGTTCAAACGGCTGATTCATTCGGAAAAAAGCAAGTGATTCGTTCAAAACGCGGATTTCAGTCAAGAAATCATCGCTGTCGGTTGCATTGAGACTCTGCTACGGTTTCATTTTGAAATTATAGTAGGCGAAATAAAGGGAAAACAAACAATATTGACAATATTGTGTCTAAAAAGTAGTTTCAATGTTAACTTATTGTTAATTTAACAGTTGTATAACAAATATCACACTTGGAATCGTGCACGGGAAAACGGCACTCTTTCTGATGTGATATTCTAATATAAGAACATAATATGATATAAATATAAGACAAAAACTAATTTGGGGACATAACAGTTACACTGCACACATCACGCAGTGAAAGCACGAGACAAATGCGATGTCAGCTCGCAGTGCCTCGTACATTGTTAAAACAATGATTACAATATCATAATAGACAATACACATCGCACACCATACGCACATAAAGAATGAACTTACAACTGAACTGACATTTACGACCTTTCTTCTCTTTCTCTCCTCTCGCGTGCAGGAGACAGTTATGCTGCCGCGACTCGCGAGTGACGCGAAATGTCACGTGAACTAGCAAATCCACAAAGATAGAATAATAAATAAAAAAATACGTACGCTAATTAGATAGTTTTAATTTGGAAAGCTTTTAGATATGTCTAAGTCAAAGTGTCATCTAAAATGTAAGACCTTTCATAAGTAAAAATAAGACTTTATAAGACTTTTTTATGGTCTTAAATTTAAAAAATCTAATTTAAGACTTTTTAAGACTTTTTAAGGATCCGCGGGAACCCTGATATAGGCACGTTTTTGCAGTGTTTCAGAAAATTTAGGCAGAGTCATGTATTTCTAATGAGCTTGGGTTGGGTTTCAGTGAACTGATCATAACATGTTTTAGACTCCATTTCTAACTTCTATTGACCACTTGTGATAAGATAACAAAAACAAATCCCATACTTGCTGAAGACATAGTCTTGATTTTTTTAAGTGAATCTGCTTTGGTGGACCCATGGATGATGATTCCAATCAATATTTCAGTTCAGTACCTCCAGATTATTCTGTGAACTCCAATGTACAGGTCAGAGAGCAGTGGGAACATTTTTGGGCCTTGAGATTCATAAACGTTGAACACTATGGTCTTATAAAGTCCCAGAGTTAAGGACAAGAACATTGAGAACCAGATTTATTTGGCAGTTTTTTTGTTAGGAATGTGAAACATGACATTTTCAATATCTGATGTGTTTCTGAGTAATATCTGGATATTAATAATCATATATACATGTCAATACATTAACTGACATATATCCAAATTAGGCTACATAACCTTTATTGCACAAAGCTATTATAGACCAGCAGATTATTCAGATTAGTTAAACAAATTCTTCAGAACACAAATAAATATATTTTATTTTCATTTTTTTTCATTAAGAGATCATAACACTAATCCAAATTAATTGAGTGGCTTAGTCCAAATTTTCTGAAGATACTCGATCTCTTTATATGATTAACTGATTTAATTTAGGCTTTAATTCACATTTAAACATTTATCAACAAACATGAAAGAAGCTCAACCGAACCTGCTTAATGCGCGAGAACAAACCTCATTGGTTCTTGATGAAGCTCAAAAGTGCTGCGTAACACAAGAAAAAACCTCATTGGTTCTTGCAGAATCAAACGTGCTGCATAACACGAGAATGAACCTCATTGGTTCTCGCACGTCAGGCGAACATGCTTGAGCTTCTGTTTACCACAACTGATGTGTGAGTGAATTGATGAATGGAAGCACAGACTCTGTGTTAACAGGTAACATTCACTCCCCTGATCATAACCTGTTAAGATGTGATCACTTCATGGGAAAAACTGAGTCATTCCAATAGGAATCCATGCTATTTGGAGTTTCACACAGATGACTCAGTTTTGCTCATTTTCAATACGATCACTTGAATTCACCATGCTGACCAACAGCTTGGTTTTAAAGTGAGTTCTGTGTGAGCTGTGCCTTATACTTAGCTATGCTGAGACAATGGACCCTTTTTGCCCGCAAAATTTTGCTAATGTGACCACACCTTTACTCTCATTTCTTTACCCTTGTAAAATAAGCTTTTTTTATTACCTTTTTTAATATACCTAAATTTAATGTTCAAAAAAATAAATCAGTAAAATCAATATTTTTCCACTAACCATTAATTGTGTATATATTCAGTTATATATATATATAATTTTATTTTTATATAAAAATTATATAAAATTTACATTTTTACAAGTTGTTGCAGCCCTAAATGAAATAAATTATGTATATATATATATATATATATATATATATATATATATATATATATATTACAATTTTCTGTTGTGGTAGAGTTGGTAGAGTGGTGCTAGAGTCCATATGGCACTGTTTAAAAAAAGTCAAATATTGGATGACTAGTAGACCATAATGACCCATGCATAATTTATGCAAAAGGAATGGTTAGGCAAAACAGATGTAAAGTTTGTATGAAACACATGCTCGCACACACACTGACCAGTTGAATGAGGAGGTTGTTTAGGTCTGTCAGTGGCTTGTTGATGAGTAGCAGTTCCTCTGCAGCCTCAGTGTTTTCATTACTGTCTGATCTCTACAAAAAAGAGAAGCAGAGAGAGCATTATTAGACCGAGAAGAAAAAAAAAGAGAGGGAGAATAAAGGGGAAGCGAAAGGAAGAAAATGAGGACAGTCAGTCATTGGGGGGATGCTTAGAGAAGAGAACTCAAGAGCCAACGCAACAGAGGATTGAGAGTCTGAGAGATTCCTGCTCATGTAATCATCACAGGAAGTACAGTAGCTTGAAGCTGGTGCTATTTTTAACAGAGACGCTCCTCAGAGGTGCTGGGGTCTCTGAACACTGCCCAGCTCTGCTGCCGGAACGGAACAATGTGTACAGCTCGCTGTCTACCATCAGCCACAACATCTTACTCTTTAGTAACAGCTGTCATAGAGAGAGAGGTAGAGAGAGAGAGAGACACAGACAGACAGATAAAAATAGACAACAGCAGCAAGAATGCATAAGAAATGCAAAGTTTGTTACCCATCAGTCATCAGCGAGAGCAGCCGTGCTGTGGGTCTGGTTCAAAAGTTCATCCCGCTGTCTCTAGCTGTCTTATTCTGCCTAATATTTCAGTGAATGTGAGTGTCTGGGATCCTCAAGCAGATTGACAGACCGGAGCAATGAGATTACAGCAAGCCTTCGCTTAATAGGACTGCAGCTTTTTCACAATTAAACTCCCTTCACTCATTTAAAATATTAATGACGGAGCTCGGGCTGACATCGTGAGAGAAACGCGAGAGGGAAGGACAGTCGGCGCAGTGGGGAAAAGTGTTCGGGAATGTCTCCCTCATCATTATCACCCAAACGAATTTGGGTTGTGTGGACACTTTTTTTTAATAAGCTTTGCTTTCTCTCTTCTGTCGCTTTTTTCTCTCTCTCTCAGAGTACTGAATTCCATTACAGGCTCCATTTTGCCGATGTCCGTGCATGAATATGTATGGAAGGACGCTGAGGGAAAGACAAAGGCCTTGGGTGGATAATGAGGGTTGAGGAGGAACTGACAGGGGAGCGACTTCCTGTGAGTCCTGTGTGCCACATATCCGACTTTAAAGCACTGTTTACCACGGGTCTGCTGAAGCGTACCGGTAAAAATAGCACTGGGAACTATTAGACGTCAAAGCAGTGGAAATTGAACACGAACGCTCGTGTGCGCGCACACTCGGTATCTCCGACAAAGATGTCCGCTGCGAGTAATTATGGGTAAAAGGTGTGGTGGATCCACTCGGAGTGAGTGGCTGGATGTATCCTGCTGGTATCTGCATAGCAGTTGTCATTGCATAACAATCTAATCATCAGTGAGGAGAGGATCCAGACATGAACCCCCTAAAAGCATGCCTACGGCGACAGTAGCAGGCAAGCGCTCCCTGAGGATGGGGGGGCTGGGGGGTGTAGGGAAAGGAGGAGAGAGAGAGAAAAACGAGGAGAACAGCTCAAGAAATAAGGGTGACAGAGTGAGAAGTGTTTACAAACAAGAGGATGGGACGGCGAGGGTGAGAGAGGGAAAACAAAATAAGGATGGATATCTCCTGGAACGAGAAAAAGAGCATGAGGGGATTTACAGAGCAGTCTGTGACATGAGAAACAAGAAAAATGAAGTGTATTTTGGCTATTAAGGCTATTAAGTGTATTTTGATCTGTTTATTATTTGATAATTGATGTCGTTTTTTTATTTATTTTAATTTGTATTGTTATTTATTTTTGAATTTCTTTGTTCCAGCCCTAAATTAAAGAGGAAACATTAAAGAAAAGAATACAATAAACTGTTGAAAATTTTCTGTTGTGGTACAGATTTGTCATAATGTACCATATCAAAATTCTTGTCAAGAAAAAAACTCACTAGTCAACCTCAATATCCAACTAGTTGGTTCCTAGATGACTAGTAGACCATCCAAATCCATCCATAACGTATGCAACAGGAATGGTTAGAGGCAAAACAGAGAGAAAATTAGTATGGTTTTGAAAACAGCTGTGCTACTGTCACACTCCTGGAAAATGCAGTTATTTAGTAGCACACCCTGTCTGAGATGTAAAGTGACATTTTTGTAAAGTGACAGAAGCAGAAAAACAAGCAGAGGCATATACAATATATATTTATCAAGAGATTGAGAGAGTTTTGCTTGTTTTCTACTAAGTGTATCAAACAAATGTATCTTTCAAAGAGTTCTCTTTCTCTCTAATATATATATATATATATATATATATATTCAACAGATTCAAACCCTATGATCTTTTTTCATTTTTGTGTGGTCAGTAAAAGGAGGCACATCTGAGGCTGAGACTACTGTTTAATATGCTTATTCACGTATACCCATATTCATAAATTTAAACAAAATTGAAATCCTAGAAGAAATACAGAGTGAGAAGGATAGACAGGGTTCCCACTCTTTTCTTGAAATGATTTTCCAGGACTTTTCCAGCATATTTTTAAGACTTTCTCAGCTGCTACAGTGCGAATCAATTATGATAAATTTATGGTTACCACTAAAAATCATTTTATTTATTAATTCAGCATGTTGAATTCAATTAATTTACGTTAACAATTGTGTTCAAATGAACATGCAAGTCTTCAGTTCTCACTGCCTCTTCTCTGCGGTCTGTGTATCTAGCTAAAAACAGCATGAAAAGTTGGGGCTCTGTGCACATACACAGTATTTTGATAGAGCTGAATTCATGACGTTTTTCTCATTCACGTTTTTTGTTTCTTCTGTCGGCCAATAGAACAAGTATGAAATACTGACTGGAACTTGGCCCGGTAAGACTACCTGTTACCCGTTGCTATCTCGAAGCTGTCGTCGTGCTCGCTACGGCTCCACTAAAACCAAAAATATATTTCACGCAAAGGTATGAGTGACGACACGCCCACAGCTCTCCACTGCTCCTCTGTCACTCAACAGAGAGAGGGAGAAAAACCGCTGTCGATACAGCCATGGCCGGATTAAGAATTCGGAGGCCCCTTGGCCCCTTTTCTTGTAGGCCCCCCTTAGGCAGGCCAAATGTATAGTTTGTCCAATTTTAATCTGGCATTAACAGTTTTACTGATTTAAAAGAAACTTTGTTTTTGGAGTAAAGTTCATAAATTATTGTTCTTTCCCATAGGATTTTGTAAAACTATGTTGGTTTTACCTCCGTCTCTCTAGGGGGGTTTGGGGGCATGCTCCCCCGCAAGAATTTTTTTTACATTTTAAGGTTAAATGCATCAATCTGGTGCACTTTGAGAGCTCAAAATTAAGAGCTTTAACCGGCTCCAACCCATGAACTGTAACATTGAACAAAGGAAAAGCATTGACTTGTACCTGGACATTAAAGAGGGATCAAACATCTTTTTAGTTATTATATAGAGTCTCAGTCTACATTACATTGTCACTGGTGTTTTAGGATGCCAAACGATTATTACAATAATGTAATAATTATTTATATAATTATTACTATTACGTAAAATCCATATAGCCTATACATGTACTGTATAAATGAAAATTATTATTACAAAAATGTATTTTACTTACACTATTGTATAGGAACATTACAATACTTTTGAAATACTTTTGTAAAAAAACACAGAATTTTTATGGTTTTCACTGTCCAAAAAACGGCCTGATGACTTCCTTGTTCTATGAAGTCCCTCCTTCAGAAATACGTAACGAGTTCTGATTGTGCCAGCGGTTCCTGTGTTTTGATTTGACAGCAGCTTTTTGCACGTTGCCCGGAAAGGTCACGCCTCTTACCATAAATTGGAGATGCATGCGCATGTGAAGTGCTTCTTCTCCATAGGAGCGCAACAAGACCACGCCCCCCTTTTTTTGTGTATTCCTGTGGGCGGAGATTAGTCAAAAAACTGTTCTAGTTACGTCATTAAAAGAGGAAGTAGAGGGATGTAGTCCAAACCGGCCGTTCGCTCTAGGCTTTGAAAGGGGACTTCTGTTAAATTAAAATATCTTGCTAGGCATTGAACTTTGAGCTTTATAATTTTACAGGTATTATTTATGCTCTAACAGCAACATTACACACTAATTAAAGTTTGAAAAATGGAATCGCGAAGAACGGGACCTTTAATTACAGTCTTGTGCTGTTTTATAAAGGCACAAAGCCATATCACGGTTTCGATGTTAGTTCGTTGGCAAAATATAACGCTAGAGACCTTTATGGTATAGGCTATACATTTTACATCTCATATGTGTTGGGAAAAGGGAGAAGAGAGAGTTCGGCAAAAGGCGGATTTGAACTCGGGTCGAACGTGTCAAAAGCTGCTTTCAAGCACCACACGCCCGACGACACTGTAGATATTTAGTGAAGGGTATATTTTTGCTAAAAAGACAGGCACGTAGTGCAAATGTACGCTCCGCTATCGGAAATAAAAAAAAAAAAAAAAAAAAAAAAAACATTCCACTCGCTTGGGCCCCAAGTGCGAATGGGCCCGTGCCCATAATGCCCATTGGGTGATCCCGGCCTGTTGCTACGCAAAATGCGTACATATTGGCAGGTTTGTGTCACGTGGGGCGCTGTGCTGGCTACATGCAGAAATGAAAGCAGACAAGCGCTTTCGCCCAATATTACCCGTTGAAGGCAGCTGAAAACAGACATTCATGCGTAAAATGTTTAACCCGTTTGCGTTCATCCACAAGGAGGGAAAATTATTTTCCAGGACAACACAAACGTTTCCAGGACATTTTACTTTTTTCCCCATTTTCCATGTGTTTTCCAGGACTGGAAAATTGGTCTTTCATTTTCCAGGTTTTCCAGGACGCGTGGGAACCCTGATAGAGGCCAATTAAGAAAACAAGAGGGAAAGACTGTCCTCCCAATTACTGAGAAATCATTTTAACCTCACAAAAACTTAGCAAACTGTGCCAAGGCAGAATAAATTTCCCCACTACATTGACACCATGGAAATGGCAAACACCATATCTAGCTGAAACTCCATAAAGAACTTTTCCTGTCACAACAAGACATCTTCCTACATGGCATATACATTCCACCGCCATAACCCCTCCTGCAGAGAAGATATGTTTCATACACTGGAAAAAGAGACATGCCCTATCCAGGCTCAGGGAAATGTGCTTGTTTGTGGGGATCTAAATGCAAAAACAGGATTACAGCTTGACTTCACGGACACAGGAAAGTAAAAATATTAATAAGATGTCATCTATAAATAACAAAATTTTGCCTTTCCACAGAAATAACCATGACCATATTGTCAATAAGAATGGGAGAGACTGTCGCTGCATCCGGATTCACGTATTGTCAGAGTAGGTGCTACATTTGAATTTACTTCAAAACTGTACTTTCAAAAAGTACGCTCTATATGGGCAGTATGAATGAAATTTTGGACGTACTATATTCGCCGTATATTGCCATACTGTTACTGACCCACAAATCTCAGTTGTGTCGCTTCACTTCCATTCATAAATCCTCTCATGTGGCCTCATGGGATAGTAGTGTCCATCGAATGCGCACTTCAGAATCTCGGTGAAAGTAATAGTTTATCCGGGGATTTTTCGCCTACTGTTTGTCGAATATCATGCATTAGGACAAACTACTCTTTTGGCATACTGTTTTTTGCATAGTACATAGTAGGGAAGTATTCGATTTCGGACACAGTGTGTGTCTCTGTCAACTGTCATACGAGGGGACATATTTGGGGGAATAATTCAGTACTGATAAAAGACCTAGATCCCTTATTTTTCAGAGTATTCTTAAAAAATAAAATAAAAATAAAAAACTCTGTCCAATCACTTCATATATCATAGGACAAACTAACTTCAGTAAAAAAAAAAATCAGTAAATAGTACCATACAGTACCAACATGAAACCATACAAAAATAATGACAGCAAAGATAGATAATGTTCTGGATACCTACAATATACTCGTATTAAAGGTGTCACGATATCTGTGAAAATATTCATTAAATATTTAAAGGAACATCGAAATCAAAATTTTTATTTTGAAATAGAAAAAGAAAAGAAAACACAGATCCAAATAACAGAAATCTGTGTACTTCAATGTGAAACTTTAAATCACACTAACATACGGATGGATGGATTTCATTCTATCTGGTACAAAGTGTAGGAGGTAAAACCTGCAACCTTATTAAATCAATGTACACTAAAAGTCAATGCATAAAAAAATAAAAAAAAGGCAACAAAAGATAACACATTTCTCAGGACAGTGGAATGAATGTTGCTGATTTAGCCCAACATTGTTCAATATGTACATCAACATGTACAATCAATGAACAAGGTGGAATCTGTGTGGAATGACCTTCCGCCCCTGGTCTCACTTCACTCAACATCAAATCAAACACCTGCTCTGCACAGATGAGTGGTTCTGCTGTCTTACACTGAACAGTGTTTACAGCTAAACCTGGAACTGCTGGAGTAATACTGCCAGTCAACCCAAATAAATACACAATCATGACCTTCCACAAAAGATCCACATCCCAGAAAACACAACACATATTCACACCACATAAGCTCATTACACTACTATTATCTAGTACTAAAAGCAATTCCACAGGAAACTATAACCCTGCAGTAAATGAACTGGGAGATAATGGCCGCAGGGCCTTGTATGCCATAAAACGACAATGCCCTTTAGAAACTCCTGTTAGGATTTGGCTGGAAATATTAGAATCTGCGATTGAGCCCATTGCCCTTTATGCCAATAGGATGAGGGGTCCATTTAAAAAACTAGAATATGAAAATGGGACAAACGTCTAATTGTAAGCCCAATTATGTAAAATATCCAATCAATACACCAACACACAACAAATGCAACATCCAGGGCAGAATTAAAAAAATATTCCATAATTACACTGTAAAATTTTTTTTTTGCTATTTTAACTATAAAATAATGCTACAGTAAAACAAAAACAAACAAAAAACCCGGTAATTAGTCAATTATATTCCTCAGCTGTGGAAAAGCTACTTTCTCTTTACTACCAGTGCTATTATGGTGGTTGAAAGTATATGTTAAAGGTACAAAACGGCTGTTGGATTTACCGGTTTGACACATTTTTATCCACAGTATTCCTGCGCCCCATGACGCTTTGTGCGAATTATGGGTGTAACTTCCGTTAAGATGTAAACAATCAGTGAAAGACTAAGCTCTATGGACGCAATAATAGATTTTTAAACCTTTTACGATGACATTACATTTTTCTACTCACCCTTCAACCATTGAACATTAAAAGGACATTTAAAAGTGTAAAAGCATCAACAAGGTAACTTTCAACAGACCATGAATAATCTCAAAAGCATCTTTCCACAGCTAAATCGGTCGGTTAAATATCACTGTGGTAATCTGTAACATACGTTGCCTTAATAAAAAAGTATTTTACTTCAGCATTACGTGATACTATTTTAAAGTGATTTCAGTCATTTTGACAGATAATAAATTGTATTTACCTGTGAAACCAAACCTGGAAAGAGACGTGAGGATTTGGAGAGGATTCCAGTGAATTATTAATGGTATACATCGTAAATTAAATCGGGAGAACAGACCACAAATGTGCAGTATGTGTTGACCTTTGTCATACTATTACAGCGGAATTCAAAAGGAAAAAAGAAAACAATCATGAGGAAAAGAATGCAGAGCTCTTACTATGGATATTCTTGTTATAACATGTCACGTTAAAATACCAAGTGTTACGTTATTCTCATGTTATTCTTAGATAAAACATGAAAGAAAACTGATTGCTCATTAAGTCAAACTGACGGATCAGCTTTATTTGTAGGGCAACCTTATGATTTGAAATGATTCGTTTCAGCCTTTTTGAATGGAAGTTCCCCAAACCGGAAGTGCCGCCCATAATTCAAAACGCAGTAAGCTTGTCAGGAATAAGGTGGATAGATTGTAAAATGTATGTTGTTCTGTAAATTTGTTTACATTTTTACTGCATTTTTACAGAATCATTCTGGCAACCACAGCTGTTATGATGCGTTCACACCGGACGCGAATAGCGCGTCAGGCGCGAGTGATTTCAATGTTAAGTTAATGCAAAGACGCGTTATGCGCGTAAAAAATTCCTGCGGCGCGAATGAGGCGTGGAGTGTGGCGCGGTAGACGCGAATACGCCTTGTTCGCGCGAATGGCGCGAATTGAGCGTCTGGCGCGTTACGGGCGAATGATTTTATAAATAAAAATTCTGGAATCTTCTGATATCATATTAAAACCCTGCAATACTAAGAGTAAAGAACAACCCACGCTTATCGGAAAAACGTGCCTGTGGTGACAGAATTCTGAAAATTTGTGATACTTTCAAAGAGAAAAGTCCAATTAGTGGCGCTAAAAGTGCGTTCAGTTTTATCCGAAACAGATGAACGTGAATTTTGCAACGTTTTAGTATGTTAGTTGTTTTATGTAGCACAGCAGTTTAGAAATAAAATGTCCAGTGAGTTGCACTAAAAGGTTAATGCTTTTAACCTTTGCATTTGCAAATAACGTACCACCTACACTAAACCCTAAACATACCCGATAGTAGGGGTGGGCGATATACCGGTAGACACGATTAACCGGTAGAAATTTGTCAACCGGTAGAGATTTTAGACTATCGCCTCTATCGCGGTTACACTCACATGGCATTGCTGTGCTGCGTGCGTGGTGGTCACGAAAGCTTACCGTCTGCATGCGTTTTTAAGCATTGTGGTTTAAAAACAAGTGATTTTAAACTGTTGAAGTACCATAGGCAGCGAAACAGAACTCATTTCGCTATATGGGTGGCTGTCTTAGAGACGCGCTCACGTGAAGCCACTGGTTTTTTTTCCGCTTTATTGGCGTTGAACGGTTAAATACACACACTTGAATGTGTCAAAATGCCCGTCTTTGCAAGTATCCTAGTAAATAGTCATTTATGCCTTAAGTGAATGTAAACAGTTGAGAAAGGAAATGCATGTGTAACAGTATTGGATCTGGGCAGCTCTTAAAGTGACAGCAGCCTAATTCCTGCTGTCTGTCATTTATGTTAATCAAACAACAAACAATTAAGTTGAATTACTTGTCATGCCAATAAATCTAATCTGAAATAGAGAGAGAATGTTACCTGGAGGGCCAGTCGGACTACAGCTGAAAGGTTTTTGAGTAGGCAGTGGATGATGTCCAGCAGACACAGGAGCAGAGAAGAACAGCTCTTCATCCCTGAGTGCATTTCTCTGTCCAGATATACACCAGAGACTTCCACAAAGACATTACTCACCACCTCAATTACACCTGAGAAGAGAGAAAAACACAAACACAGTAGAGTCACTCTTCTATACATGCATCTGCTCTGACTGTCCATCTGATGGACACAAACACATCTAGCATAAGATATCAGCAATTTAATTAAACAACTGTCTGTCACACAATACATTACACTTAATATACTAACTGGTTGAAGTAGTCATAGTTACATAAGTAAGCAGAGAGTATATCAATATTCTCAGTTTATGGTAGACATTCAAAACCATAAAAAAATTACATATAACCTGATGCAATTTTACGAAGGGGTTAATAAAAATGTTGTATAAAAACAATATATACAGTTGTAGTGTATTTATATAGTTTGGGGTTGGTAAGATTTTGTATTTTGACAGAAATTAGTACTTTTTTTTCCAGCAAGGATGCATTGAATTGACCTGAAGTTGACAGTAAAAACTTCTAGAATGATACAAAATAAATTCTGTTCTTTTGAACTTTCTATTTATCAAAAAAAAAATCTGAAAAAAGGGTATCATGTTATCAACAAAAAAATATCAAGCAGCACAACGGTTTTCAATATTGATAATAACAAGCAATGTTTCTTGAGCACCAAATCAGTATATTCATCAGTATGATTTCTGAAGAATCATGTGACACCGAAGACTGGAGTAATGATGCAGAAAATTCAGCTTTGCTATCACATAGGCCTCAATAAATTTCATTTGAAAAAAATTAAATGTTTATAATTTTGCACAATATAACTGTTATTGCTCTAATTTTGATCAATCAAATGCAGCTTTGGTTAGAAACTTATTTCAAAAACATCTTTAATAAATCTTACTGATCCCAGTATAGAATAGATCTTACTAGAACAGTACTTATATATATATATATATATATATATATATATATATATATATATATATATATATATATATATATATATATATATATATATATATATATATAATATATATATATTTTTTTATGGTAACACTAGTTTAGGGTCCAATTCTCACTATTAACAAGTTACTTATTAGCATAGGATATTGGCTGTTTATTAGTACTTATAAAGCACATATTAATGCCTTATTCTGCATGACCATATTCTACATCCCTTAATCCTACCCAACACCTAAACTTAACAACTACCTTACTAACTATTAATAAGCAGTAATTACAAGTTTATTGAAGTAAAAGTCATAATTAATAGTTAGTTACTAGTGAGAATTGGACCCTAATATAAAGTGTGACCACTTTTATTTCTATAAATTTTGAATAGCATTGCAATATATTGCACAGCTATAGCTTCATCCAATATTTACAGATTTATGGGATAGCTGTGATGGTTTGTTTGTAAAATCACAAAATACACAAGGTGAATATTTTACAATATATACAGATACATAGACATTAGTCTTGTAAAAAAACATAAAATGTTTTCCTATTTAAATATTTTTTAATTGGTAATATTATTTTGAGGACCTTAAAGGATGTATATATGCATCATTAAATGATGTATCATATTCCATATATTCTATTCCATTTCTATTTGTAAATATGCAAATGACTAAAGTTGAACATTGATCATTTTATTCCTGGCAGAAAAGTCTGTTGTCATAAACTCAAACACGGACCACAAGTAACTGGGATGAAGTACCAATGTTCGGTTTGAGCATCCAAATAAAGTCTTTGAATCCTTACAAGTGAGACTAGGTTCTGCTTCATGCCCCAAACCACATGATTCAGGTCCAAATGAACTTTCAAATGAAAAATGCAGTCCAACCTAATCCACAGTGTCATACATTCAATGTGACTTCCAAAAGACCAGAAGTAAAGAGATGTACAGAAGTCTTCTAATTTAAACCTTCACCCATTATTTTACTTCAAGGATCCCACATTTTTTTTACTTCAAGGATCCCAAAAAAAAGGAAATGGAAAATAACATTTACATATTACTCTGTACAGTAGAGTGGAGTTGAACAAAAATAACATTTCCACCCAGAAGATCTTTTAATTCGTTCAGGGGAGCAGCATACATGGCAGGCCTCACAAACATGAGTCTTTACATTACATATACATATTGTAACGTATAAATATTCTGAACATTCTTACAGTATTATTCTGAGATACAAAACATAAAAAGTCTATTTTTCCTTACTATTGATGACACATGAAATACATGATCTTCCACAAAAGCAGACAGAACCCTTGCCTTCCCTTCCACCTTATTGTGGCTTTCTTTCTCAGTATTGTTGAAATATTAAGATTATGTGTTCATCTCTCCTTTCCTTGCTAAGCTCTCAACATGGTATGATCTTTTACCCAGAACACTATACTTATAAGATATAGACTGGGATGTGGACAAACACCGTTTTTAATACCGCTATTGCTACTACCGGTGACGCACATTTCTGCATTTTCCTGTTATAAAGCTAAAATAAGCATCCAAAGTGAGTTGACTTGTACTCTGAGAAGACTGTAGGATTAAGATGTGAGTGAACATCTTCATGAATTAGTTTGATGAGCAGTTTGCCTCAATGATTTGATGTATTTCCCTTTGAAAATTATGTCATTTGTAATGTAATAAAAGACAATAAATGAATAAAATTGAAACTGATTTGCCATATTAGATTTAATAGGACATTTTCTTTATAATAGCATTTACTGTTAAAACCATGCATGATCAATTTTAGTAATAGTGAAGCTGTGTATTTTGAAAATCTATTATTATCATCTATCAAAATACTAGAAATACTAGATACTATATAAGCATTAGAATACTAGAAAGCATTAGATAAGCCAAAATGTCTCCAGTGCATTGAGAGTCATACATTTTTCTAAGTTCGTATTTCTAGAAGACAGTGACAGATTTACTAACAGCTTGCACCGGCGCAAACCCTCTTTTGGCGATAAAAAACTACTGTCAGGATTTACTAAAGACACGCAGTGAAAAATTAGCACTGAAAAGGCGTGGACACAGTTACTTTTGCAGCTGACCTTATTGCAGATGCATTTGTAGGAGTTTCCCTTTCAGACGCAAAATGTATGGGAGGAGAATATTTAAAGGTAGGGTATGGGATTTGCAAAACGGCCGGCAGATTTTGAAAATACACAACTCAAAAGGTCCTACCTTCTTTCCTCCAACGCTGGCCCTGACTCCACCCATTCGAAGAACATGGACGCGCAATCATGCATCTGCAAAACTCAGATGCGCGAGATTGCACTTACTCTCTCTCTCTCTCTCTGTACCGGGGCAACTTGCACTTACTGTGACACGAGCTTTGAGTATGCGCACGAAGGGGACACGCGCGCAAGGGGGATGGGGGGAGGAGGGTATGGTACGACCGTTTGATTGACGCACTTACAGTCCAATGATTCTAGGTGGTCTTGGAAATGATTGGCTGGAGTTTTTCGAGTCCTGCCCGTTCCACAGATGATTAAATTGCTTAATTTTCATTTCAGTGCTTCTAACTCAGTCGCTGAAAGTGGGTTGGGAATAGGATTTCAAGTGATTTTGAAAAAAATGGTCAAAAGAAAATCACATACCCCAGCTTTAAATGAATCATGCAAGGTGATTTACTACGGTTTGCTCTAGTCAATTTACTGGTATTGGCGCCATTATTTACAGCCCCAAAACAGTAGTCTTAAACCAGATGCTAGATTGCGTTGGTCATTATGGAAATGATCTGGCTGCGTCTGTGTTCTTAAATTTGCGCTGCGTCAGTAGATCACACGCAGAACTTTACACTACTTTTTTGGAATTGCGCTCTCACGTTATTTGCCCCGTTTAGTAAATCTGGCCCTTTAAAAGCATTTATTTTAAATAAATCTTTGCACGAGGGCTGTAGAAATGTGACAGTCTATATGATTTATGACAATGCAATGAGACAGACATGCCAACAGATGAAAAAGAGACTCAGACAAGTTGCAAAGCGAATGAGATTAAAATCACAGTTCACATACTATCTGTCCCAAGTCATAGTATGCCAAAAAGAAGGGAAGGCGTCATGGCTGGACAGACAAAGGAAGATGAGAGGCAGATTTAATTGCAGCTTTTAACTTTATTAACCAAAATAAAACAAAGACGATAATCTGCAAAGGGTGAGTATCAACGCAACAGCTTAACACAAAATATGAAAAGACAATACCAAAACAAAGGACTGAACAAACTGAGGGCTTATAAACACAGGCTAATGACAAACTAAACAAGAAAAAGGTATGCAACATAATTGGTAACCATAGCAACTAACTAATGATGAGACCAGAGGAAATGGGAAGAAAACACATGAAAACAAGGAATACAAACAGACCATGAAACCTAAACTAAGGGCGTGTTCACATTTGACAGGTTGTTCTGATTAAAACAAACTCTGGTGCGATTGTTTGGTTAGTACGGTTCATTTGAATAAGTGTGAATGCTGCCATCCGAACCCAGGTGAGCACAAGTGGACCAAGACCGCTGAAAAGATGGAACTCTGTCCACTTCAAACAAACTCTGGTGTGATTCGACTGAAATATAAATGCAACATCCCATCCATATATTCATACATGTTTCCTGTTTACAGAGCTTTTGTTGCAAGACATATTTCAGTGATATCTGTCAGGTAAGAAGGGTATTTTATGCATATATATATATATATATATATATATATATATATTAGGGGTGCTCCGATCAGGATTTTTGGGGCCGATCGCCGATCGCCGATTACTGGAAGCTGTATCACCCGATACCGATACCGATCACCGATTACAGGGTCTATTTGAAGACTTCTTTTTATCATGTAGCATTACTTATTAAACTATATTTAACAACAATGTACATTAAGTATTACATTTAAGAGAAGACAATGCATAATGAATTGACACCTGTGTATTTATTTGCAAGCAACATGTATTAACATAGAAGCTTGGTTATTGGGAGCAGCTTAGGGCTTGACATACAACTTTCCTGTAGAATATAAAATAAAATTAATAAAAGACAGAACATCTGAGTCTTTAAATTTAGCTTTAGACTACTTTAAACATTA